ACCACTGATAAGGATGTCCTTCTTTTAGGCCTCATTTTCCCCACCTGTAAGAAGAGAACATGTCCCTAACACCAGATGTTCATTTGAAGGATCAACTGAGAATGTATCTGTATAAAACCGTCAAGAAACCCTGAGCTAAGGCTCATTCCTACTAGCTATGGGACCTTAGGAAAATTACTTCGCCTCCCACAACCTCAGTTTCTCCATCTGTAAGGTAGGGATGATGGTGTTCACCTCATAGGGCTGTTATGCAAATGAAATATGATAATGGGAGTCAGCACTGAACTCACTGGCACACAGTAAGCTCAATTCACAGCAGCCGGTGTTACTGTCCCTGTGGCTTATCCCACAGCACCTTCTTTCCCTAGACCCAGGCCCTGCAGGACAACGGTGCCTGTCTCCTCTCTGCAGTTGAAAAAAGCTTTTGGTCCAGAAGACCCCCAGCCTCCCAGAAGTCCCCGCAGGCATCACCCCTTGCCCCTAGGAATGAAGCCATTCTCGGGTCTTAGACTAACTCCTTGTTCAGCCTGTCCTCAGAAATCAATAACTGCTTACCTTGGAGCAGTTTTAATTAGTCAAGGCCTGCTGGGTGCTCGGCTGATAAACTAGCCTGCTATTGATGCTAAGTATCTGCCTTGCGCTTGCTATTTTTATTATTGTTGTCATTATGAAATCCTCATTTCCTGAACCGCACAGCTGGGACTATTATTTAAAAACTACCTTAGGCTTGAGCCTCCTTCCCTGAAACCTGGGGAAAGGGGCTTTTCCAGACAGCTCGGCTCACTCCTTCCCACGCCTACCACGTGCAATACCCTTAACGCAACATGATATTAGCAGACGCTTCCCTCAGTAACAGCAAACAACTTCCACCACTTTTGATCTCTGACTTCTGTTGCAGCAGAGTTCCCCCAAGCTGTCAGCCAAAAGGTGAGGATCACCTCACCCTCTTAAATCAGCCACCAGTGAGAAGGGCAGAAGGAGGGAACATTTATTAAGCGCTTGCTGTGTACCAGCAATGGTGCAACGTGCTTACTGCTGGGACCTCATCTAGTCTTCGGAGCACCCAGAGGTGCTAACACAAGCCCCGTTTTGTCAATGAAGTAACCGGGACTCAGAGAGGTTAGGGCACTTGCTCAAGATCATAGCAACAGCAGGTAGGGGTAAGTGGAGCTAAACTTTCATCTGTCTTTCTGCTTCCCACTTGGGTAGGCCCCTGGGGGACGTCTCCTGGCCTTGGCTGACTTCTCCCACTCTTTATTATCATCATTATATTTGAGGGTATCACTCTGTTGCCCAGGCTGCAGCGCAGTGGTGGAATCTCAGCTCGCTACAACCTCCGCCTCCTGCGTTCAAGTGATTCTCCCATCTCAGCCTCCCGAGTAGCTGGGACTACGTCAGCATTTTTTGGTAGAGATGAGGTTTCACCACGCTGGCCAGGCTGGTCTCAAACTCCTGACCTCAAGTGATCTGCCCGCCTTGGCCTCCCAAAGTGCTGGGATCACAGGCGCAAGCCACCGCGCCCAGCCTTCTCCCACTCTATACCTCTCCACTGCAGGCTCTAGAACCCCAGCCTGCCTATTCGTGTTCCTCTCTTTCACTGCCTCCTCCTACTCCATCTCTTGGTTTTATGGCTACTGGGGGAGGACTCAGGGCATGGGGCATGGTCTCTCTAAGTCAAAGACCAGCTTCATACAGCTTTGTAATCCTTTCTCCAGTGAAGAGGCAAAGGACACAAATAAAAACGACAACAACAAAAATCCCTCTTGGAAGAAGAACCAGTATCTGGGCAATGGTACAAAGAGGTTTCGAACCCAGGCAGGAGGAGCAGGAAAGCCTGGGTTCAAATCCCGCATGTGCGTCGTATTAGCTGTGTGACCTTGGAAAATGCTGAAGCTCCCATTTTCTCATCTGAAAATGGCCTTCCTGGTAGCATCTGCCTCCCAGGGCTATTATAAGGATGAAGTGAGAGAACCTACGTTAAGGGTTTCGTGTGCTTCCCAATGCGAAGTAGTTCTTTTTGTTGTGAGTAGTAATGACTGCTAACAGCTAACGATGGTTGCCACGTGTCAGATGCTGTTCTGAGTAACTGTCTTGTTTCATTTCATTTATTTAGAGCAATACTCTGTGGCATTTCCATGGTACCTTTGGGAATCTCTGTATAATCTCCATTTCACAGATGGTAAAACCTAAGGCTGAAAGATGTAAGTAACTTGCCTGAAGACATGCATTTTTTTAACTAAAAGTTATATTTTGGGATAACTGGAGCTTTCTATGCAGCTGCAAGACATAATACAGAGAAATCCCCCAGTGCTAACGTCTTGCAGAACTATCGCAACCAGGATATTGACTGATATCATCAAGATACAGAACATTCCATCACCAAACAGATCCCTCTTGTGGCATGTTGCCCTTTTTTTAAATATAGACTTTAAGTTCTGCGGTATATGTGCAGATTGTGCAGGATTGTGACATAGGTATACGCATGCCATGGTGGTTTGCTGCATCCATCACCCCGTCACCTACATAAGGTATTTATCCTAATGTTATCCCTCCCCAATTCTCCCACCCTCCACTATGCCTCACCTAGCCCCCTATCCCCTGACAGGCCCCGGTGTGTCCATATGTTCTCCCTGTGTTCCCCTCCCTGTGTCCATGTGTTCTCATTGTTCAACACTCACTTATGAGTGAGAACATAGAGTGTTTGGTTTTCTGTTCTTGTGTGTCTGCTGAGAATGATGATTTCCAGCTTCATCCATGTCCGTGCAAAGGACATGAACTCATCCTTTCTATGGCTGCATAGTATCCATGGTGTATATGTACCACATTTTCTTTATCCAGTCTATCATTGATAGGCATTTGGGTTGGTTCCAAGTCTTTGCTATTGTAAGCAGTGCCACAATGAACATTCGTGTGCATGTGTCTTTATAACAGGACCATTTATAATCCTTAGGGTATATACCCAGTAATGGGATTGCTAGGTCAAATGATATTTCTATTTCTAGATCATTGAGGAATCGCCACACTGTCTTCCACAATGGTTGAACTAATTTACACTCCCGCCAGCAGCGTAAAAGTGTTCCTTTTTTCCACATCCTCTCCAGCATCTGTTGTCTCCAGATTTTTTAATGATCGCCATTCTAACTGGCATGAGATGGTACCTCAGTGTGGTTTTGATTTGCATTTCTCTAATGACCAGTGATGATGAGCATTTTTTCGTATGTTTGTTGGCTGTATAAGTGTCTTATTTTGAAAAGTGTCTGTTCATATCCTTCACCCACTTTTTGATGTGTTCATTTCTTTTTTTCCTGTAAATTTGTTTAAGCTGTTTATAGATTCTGGATATTAGGCCTCTGTCAGATGGGTAGATTGCAAAAATTTGTTCCCATTCTGTGGTAGCCAGTCCACACTAATGATAGTTTCTTTTGCTGTGCAGAAGCTCTGGAGTTTAATTAGGTCCCATTTGTCTATTTTGGCTTTTGTTGCCATTGCTGTTGGTGTTTTAGACATGAAGCCCTTGCCTATGCCTATGTCCTGAATGGTTTTGCCTAGGTTTTCTTCTAGGGTTTTTATGGTGTTAGGTCTTATGTTTGAATTTTTAATTCATCTGGAGTTAATTTTTGTGTAAGGTGTTAGGAAGGGGCCTGGTTTCTGCTTTCTGCACATGCTAGTCAGTTCTCCCAACACCATTTATTAAACAGGGAATCCTTTCCCCGTTGCTTGTTTTTGTCAGGTTTGTCAAAGATCAGATGGTTGTAGATGTGTATGTTGCCCTTTTATACCAAGCCGCTTCCCTCCAATCCCTACCCCACCTTAAACATTGTTTAGAATTTCTTTTTCTTTTTTTCTTTTTTTTTTTTTTTTTTTTTTTGAGACAGAGTCTGTTTTGTCACCCAGGCTGGAATGCAATGGCACAATTTCAGCTCACTGCAACCTCTGCCTCCTGGATTCAAGTGACTCTCCTGCCTCAGTCTCCCAAGTAGCTGAGATTGCAGGCATGTGCCACCATGCCCAGGTGATTTTTGTATTTTTAGTAGAGATGGGGTTTCACCATGTTGGCCAACCTGGTCTGGAACTCCTGACCTCAGGCGATCCAACTGCCTCGGCCTCCCAAACTGCTGGGATTACAGGTGTGAGCCACCATGCCTAGTCCTTCTGTCCATTTTTTTAGGGTAGGTCTATTGGTGGCAAATTCTCGTTTTCCTTTATCTGAGGATGGCTGGATTTCCCCTTCATTCCTGAATGATATTTTCACTGGGTATAGGAATCTGGATTGACATTTCCTGGGAACTCGCCGCCTGATTTTTCCTCAGATCCCAAAGTCCCTAGCCAATCTGCCTTCTTCTCCACCTTTTAGAGTCTTACATTTGTTTTGTATTTTATGTCCAGGGTCTTTAGTGGCATCTAGCAAGAGGAATAAGGAAAGGTATGTCTGTCCTACCTTCTCAGAAGCAGACATTGCCCACACACATTTTAATAAGTCATTGAGTCTGTATAAAGACACATGCACAGATATGTCTACTGCGGCACTGTTCACAGTAGCAAAGACTTGGAACCAAGCCAAATGCCCATCAATGATAGACAGGATAAAGAAAATGTGGCACATATACACCATGGAATACTCTGCAGCCATAAAAAAGGATGAGTTCATGTCCTTTGCAACAACATGGATGAAGCTGGAAACCATCATTTTCAGCAAACTGACACGAGAACAGAAAACCAAACACCGTATGTTCTCACTCATAAGTGGGTGTTGAACAATGAGAACACATGAACACAGGGAGGGAAACGTCACACACCGGGGCCTGTCAGGGGATGGGGGGCTAGAGGAGGCATAGTGGAGGGTGGGGGAATTGGGGAGGGATAAGATTAGGAAAATGCCTAATGTAGATGACGGGACGATGGATGCAGCAAACCACCATGGCATGTGTGCACCTATGTAACAAACCTGCACATTCTGACTATACCCCAGAACTTATAGTATAATAAAAAATAAAAGGAAAAGCTTTGCACAGCGGCAATATCTTAGCCAATGAGGTTTATCTAAGGCAAGATTATTGCTAATTGAAAACTTCCCCATACCCCACCATGACAACTTGAAATACAGTCAGTGTTGGCAATTTTTGGCAGTCTCTACGGGGACTGAATCATCTCACATTAAAAAAAAATAAAAATAAATTTAAAAATAAAGTAAAATTTAAGAATTTATAAAACCTTTTCCTGATAATGCCCACGGTTGTCATTCCAACCCTACCACTAATGAAGTTATCTCAAAATCCTATGTAAGGAGAACAATGACCTCTGAAAGGAGAGAAATTACAGCTAGCCCATAAATTAGTTAAGGAGCAATTAAAAGCCAGCAGTTGCAACTGTTTACAGCACCCTCCAAGGTGCCTGTAAGCAGCCACAACCCCTCAGCTGAATCAGCAAGCATAGTATCTGTGCATCCGTGTACTTTATTCATCTATTGCTGAGTTGAGGTCTGCAGGACAGACCCCCCCCCGACAAGTGAAGACCCCAACAGTGGTGCTCCCAACAAAAGGCAACCCCAACAATCTGGCTGTGGACATTATCTAATTTTAGTCTCACTGAATCCCACAAAGATGAGATAGCCCCAGTCCTTTTGACAGGTGAGGTAACCAAAACTCTGAGAGGTCACCTACGGGAGGGATGAAAACAAGCGCTCTGACCACACCCTGGCCTCCATCACCATGGGATTCTAAGGGACAAGGCCAGGAGAGTTGCAGCATCTTCTGTCAACCCTATGTATGTTACCCCGATTTGTGGTTTTAAATCCCACTGCTTGCTGACAGATTTGCCACCTGGTATAAGGGCAGAATCCATTATTATCATCAATAGTAGTAATGGATAATTAAACGATAAATGCACTAATCTCATTAAGCCACTTATTTAATTAATTTATTTTAATTCATGCAATTAGTTAATATGATAATGTTTCCTTTCATCCAAAGACAGCCTGCGGGCTCTCCAAGCATGATATACTATGATTAATGGATTTTCACATGTTGAGAAGGAAGGGATTTAGGGAATTGGCCAAGTCAGAGTTGCCGGGTGTGGGGGGGTCACTCAGCTCATGGAGAAGCCCACTGCTCTCTCTCTGATGACTGTTTTCCTACCCACAGGCACTAAGCTCTCACTGGCTTTCTTGACTTGGCACTTGCCTGGAAAGCCCTCTCCTTTTCTCCCTGAGTAGCAATACCACCCATCTTTCAAGACTCAGCTTAGGGAAAAAGTCACCTGACCTTTCCCAGCTGGATTAGACAGCTCCCCTGAGATACCCTGTGTAGCATGTGTCACAACTATGGAATGTCCCTGCTTAAAAACAAATCCTTTGAGAGAAGGGGCTGGGCAATGACTATAACATCAGCAATCACAAACCCAGGAACCACCGTCATTCACTGACCATCTATTCTGCACCAAGCACTTTCCCAAGCACATTGCAAAGACAGTCCCTTTCAATCTTCACCCAACAGCAAACAGTGGGAATTGTTTCCTCATTTATTTTGGAATAAGGAAACAGAAACTTTAAGCAGTTAGGTAACTTGCCCAAAGCCACCCACCAGATCCGGGATTCGAACTCATGTTCAGATGGTCCCAAAGCCTGAACCCTGAACTACCATGCCAGACATCTTACTTGTCTTTGCAGCCTCCACCCCTAGCACAGGGCCTGCTTACTAAATACTTGTACAATGAATGAATGCCCCAAATGACTTTTTAACAAATGTGGATCGCATAGTGAGAGAAACAAGAAGACCTTGTGGCGGAAAGAGAAGTGACAATGATAAGCTTCAAGGAATTCTGTTATTATGTTGATCTTTCATGGTAATGTTTAAGGACATGAAAATTTTCAATACTGTGGATGGAATTACATTTTACTCTAAGGCCTAAAACCACAAACAAACAAAAATAGTAATTCCATTAGTGGTTGAAAACGGTAATAATCCTGGTGAGTATGAATTTTATTGCTATAGCAACTGAAGAGCTCAGAAATGACAAATAGAAAGTTCTCACATGCTGTGAGGAGTACGTTTTCGCTGCCAATACTCCATCAAACATTATAATTCCATTAGTAGTTAAAAATTGTAATAATACCCTTGACAATAATTTTTATTGCTATACCTGTAAAGCACAAAGATCAGAAATAATTTTGTCAACGGGAAAGTGGTGATCATAACTCAGTGGTGTTAGGGAGAAGCCTGTGGTTTGGTTTCGGTGTGACTAGCATCTCAGTTTGGAGCCTTAACACCTGAGACCGTGATTCAAAAGCTATTTCAAATTCAAGCCATTTCCCTCTTTCATTTCTAGTGTTCTCATGGCAAAGAAAGAATGCACTCAGAAGTAGGCTGATGGTGGCTCTGACACTCCTTGTGACTCACCCTGGTTCTCAGTCTTCTAATCTGTTAAATGGGACCAAATAGGCTCTTTTTCAGTTTAGTCTAATACCTGGGGATACAGTCATGTATTATAGAGATGGTGACCCTGACTACATAGAGCTTATGGTTTTCGGGGAAGATGGATATTATTTATTATCCACCGCATTGAAGGGAGTGATTTTCAGGAGCTCCACCCAGATGCCACCAAGAAGCTCCTCCACCTGCAACCCTGATGTAGGTGACTCTTAAGACGCTCCCCCTGGAAGCTGCTTCCAGGCTCAAGCCTGTACACCTCCTGGCTGCTGTGCCCCTGGAGAGCAATACCTTCTTCCTCTTCCATGCTTATACTTCCCATGAGCACTTCCCATTGGCCGACTCTGCCCCAGAACCATCTTGGGAAGGGCATTCTAGAAAGGCTTCCCAGAGGAAGTAACATTTAAGTTGAAAACCAAACGATGAGTAACACTTGGTTAGGGGAAAGAGTAGAAAGGAGCTGGGGAGGGAGAGGAGAAGGAAAACAAATCCCAGGTACTGGGAACAGCATGTGCAAAGTAGAGCTGTGCTGTCATTAGCCACCTCTGGGGATCTCCTGCAACTCAGTAAAACTCCCCACTGGTGGGCTGGGAGTAGCGTGGGGATTGCGCAACAGTTCCTCAAATGTGGTGGTGGAGTTTACTCCACCAATTTCATCAAGTACAATCATCAGTAGATTTCACCATGGTGCTTATAGTTTTTTTTTTTTTTTGAGATGGAGTCTTGCTCTGTCACCCAGGGTGAAGTGCAGTGGTGCGATCTCAGCTCACTGAAACCTCCAGCTCCCAGATTCAAGCGATTCTCATGCTGCAGCCTCCCAAGTAACTAGGATTACAGATGTGCACCACCAGGCCCAACTAATTTTTGTATTTTGAGTAGAGATGGGTTTTCATCATGTTGGCCAGGCTGGTCTCGAACTCCTGACCTCAGGTGATCCACCCGCCTCGGCTTCCTGAAGTGCTGGGATTAAAAGCGTGAGCCACCGCACCCAGCAACTTATAATTTTTTATGAAAAGTTCACCATGAAGATTGCATCTCAGAGTGAATAGAACAGTGACTGCTGTTTCGCAACTTACGTTTCTCATCTGACATATTTTTGACGGTCCTGTCATATTTTTGACAGGTAAATAACTTTTCCCTCTCCTTGGGATTTAAGGTCATGCAGCCTCCACACCTCCTCCCATCTACATTGCCTCTACATTCTACCATCATCCAGCTCATGATTATAAAAAGATTTAGAAGAAAGAATAAACAAAACCAGGTCTTTGCGGGTAGTGTGGACTGGGGGAACAAGGAGATCGTGGGTTCCGTTTTAAACATGTGGATTTTGTGACACACTGGAGACATCCAAGTAGGGATGACAAGGGACAATTTGTATATTGGTCTGGAACCCAGCAGAGAGAGCAGTAAATTCTGAAGACATGGGGTGCAGGTGGCAACTGAAGGCGTGGCAGCGGATGAGAACGTAGTGAGGAAGAGCAGGGGAGGCAGGATGGAGCTTTGAGGAACATCAACATTCAGTGCCTGGTAAAGGGTGCTCGACCATAATGGAGAAGACAAAGGGCAAGTGTCCAGAGAACTAGGAGCTGAGTCAGGACACTTTTGAATCAAGTAATCCAATAGAGAGCTGCTGCAAGAAGGAGATAGGTCTGAAAGTGTCCATGACTTTAGCAATGTGGAGACATCCATGATGCCCTCCACGAGAGCTCTTTGTTGGAGATTGTGGGGAAGAATCCAAATGGGAGTGGATTGAGGAGGGAGAGGATGGAGAGAAGGAACAGGGACCATGAGTATAGGCAACCTTTGAAGAATATGGCAGCCAAGGGGAGGGGCAGGCGAACACAGCTACGAGGGAGTGTGGGGCCAAGGTGGTTGTGGGGGTCGTTGTGTTTCAAAACTCAGGTGGAATTTAAGCATATTTTAAAGATCCAAGACGGCAAAATGCGGGGGAGGGAAGGCAACTAAAGCGAGGCTAAGCTAAGGCAAGGGAGGTCCACGGGGAATGTGGGGAGGGGCGGTGGCAAAACTTAAGGAGAGCTCGTTCCTTAAAGGGCAGGGCCAGCATTTACCCAACGCTGAGACCATGTGCCTCCTTAATTGTGCCTCCTAGAAGCCTGGCTGGTTTCACCCTCACCGGAGCCCAGAACTGAGATCTTGGAGTCATTGAGGTGACAGCTTCAGAGCACAAGTGTGACTCTGAGTGTTACCCTTTTCCAAAAAAAAGAAAGAAAAGAAAAGAAAGTAATAACCAAACTTACAGGACTTGAAAGCTTGAAAGAACTCTAGGGTGACTCTCAGAGTGTTACCCTTTTCAACTTGACAAGGAAAGTTATAACCAAACTCTCCCGAGGCCGCCTCCTACTGTGGCTTTTCAGGTCTTTAGCTGTGAAACACTTTCTTTACTCTCACGTGGAAGTCCAGTACGTAAAACAGGAAATGCGGATGGTTCTAGTGGAATCTGGGAGCCAGGGGTCTTGTGCTCGGAGAGCTGCAACACCCAGGTCCACAGAGAGCTTACATTGCACGGATCATCGTTTGCAAACCTCTGGGCTGGTTCAAGATGCCCACGGAGTCATTTGTGAATTCACTCCGGCTTTCAGTGCAGCCTCTGAGGCTGCGTGGGAGGCTTAGCAAAAGGAAGCCCAGTAACACCCTTGCATCTGCAGAATCGTCTCAGTTTCATAGGTGGACTTTGCTTCAACTAACCTGACACAT